TATGGCTTCTGCACCAGTTTTCCCATTATGCATGCTTCGCACTCTGGTAACCTTTCAAATTTTAGATCCAATCCTCTTACAATATGTCCTTGAATCATTTTTTCATGTATTCTTCATTAATATGGTTTAATCTTTTATGCCATAAACTTATATTGCCATTTTTATTTGATAAATGTGTATTTATAACCATGATATTTTCATTTTTTTGCTATTGGTACATTTCTTAACTTTGTTTCCATCATAAACATTCTATCTTTTATATATGCTTCAGCAACTAAATAATTCCCTTCATTATAAATTTTTGCTCCATCCTTATTGAAAATAACTGAATTTCCTTTGTTGACTAATTCGTATACTGACAAGAAATTATTCCTTAAATTTGGTACATGTAAGATATCTTTGATGTGAATATTTTCTTGGCCTTCACTTGTGCATGTAGTAAGTCTCATATCTCCTTTGGCTGTGGCTTGGGTAGTTCTGCCCGTCTCAGCTAGGTTGATTCGACTTTCATAATCTACCACATTTTCCATCAAAGTTAGGTTTGGGGTTAAATGTGCGGTGCATCCTGAATCTATACACCATATTTGCCTATCATTTCTCCCATTTGGTGGATCTTCAAATTCTTTTACATATGTTTTAAATGCTTGCTCATTAAATCCACTTTTCATAGTATCCACTAGGTTATTTGAATGTTCCCGAACGTATTTGTGATTTCTATAACCAGGAGTCCATTTTATTTGATATCCTTGTTTCTGTTTATCTCGAAACCAGCAATCATTATCTAGATGTCCCTTTTTATTACAAACAAAACATCTTTTTGGCTGAAATTGTTTAACTTTTCTATCTTTAATTCTGTATAATTGTTCATGCCCATTCTCAACCGATTGATTTAATCTCATATTTCTTCTTGACTCCTCTTCTCTTAGAGTTTGTTGAATCTCTTCAATTGTTGCCTCTCTCTTAGATCGTAAGACAATAGCAATATTTTCATACCTTGGATGTATGCCTCTGACAATATGAAATGAAAGTTCTCTTGAGGTAAATTGATGCCCTAATGATTAACTTCTAGCAGCAATATTTTTTGCCCTCGTTATATATTCATCTACAGTTTCATTTTTTATCTTTCATTCTAATGTTCTTTAATTCTAAGCCTATATCAATAATTTTATCTTTCAAATTGCCTGTGTATGTTTTTCTCAGTGAATCCCATACTTTCTTAGCATTTGTTTCTCCTATGAACATTCCAGCTTGTTCATTAGTCAATGTTGTGATGATTATCCCAAAAGCTTCATCATTTTTATCACTCCAAATCTCCCAATAACTTTTGTCTTTCATATCAGGTTCTGGATCGGAAATTACACATTTAAATGATTTTCTTCCTCTCAGAACTGCGCCGATTATCAACGCCCATATTTGATAATTTGTTCCTGTTAATGGTTCAATTTTTGTTTGGGATAAAAAATTACATTCAGCCATTTTCGCCTTTTGAGCTAATATAAACAAACCAATATAATTCAAAAACAAATATATATATTAAATTTATTTAAATATTGGGTAGCTTTTAAACATGCAATATATAGATATAATTTAACTTAATCTATATAAATACCTTTAATCTTCTTATAAGTGCTTCAGTTTACCGATCAGAATAAACTTCTTGCTTAATCTTCAGATTAAATATTTTCGTTTTGAGCTTTATATCAAATAACCACGCTCTGCTACCAATTGTTGACTTTGCTTAAAATTATTAAAGAAACTGATTCCAATAATTATTAATTAAACATTATATTTATTGATTTACTAGAGAGAGAACAAAATATAAAAGGGAAACTAATATTGAAACAAAGGACTTTTTTTTGTTTTGGTTAGAGCCTATTTACCTGTGAGCTTACACACACTCTGTGGTAACAATTAATTAATATATATACAACAAAACACAATAAAATTAAACGTAACCCACCAAAACAAATTTTAGAAATACATTAGATTTGTTTACTTACTACAGAGTCGAGATTGGATGATTATTATCATTTTAAATGATTTAAAACACAAATTTGCTTGTAAAAATATGCAAATTATATATATAGATGTCTACCTAAAAATAATTGTTCTGTGTACATTGAAAAATATTTTGTTAGTCTCATATTCCTGGGTATTGATTCTTAATCTCAGGGTCGTGTGCTACTTGACGTTTCACTATGTATATATTTTTAAATATAATAATAGAAAAAAATTATACACATAATTCGAGCCCCGCGGCGGGCGCCATTGAATGAACTGTATTTTTATATACAGGGTGATCCAAAAGTCCCGCACTATTTTAAAAATTGATAACTCCGCGAATATTTGCGCTAGAGCAATGCGGTAAACACCATTGTGTTCAGGATGCAATGGGATTTTTATGGAGAATAATGAAAAATTCGAAATTAATTTTAGTTACAATTTTATTCGCAAGATGGCGCTCTACCAGAATCAGAGATTCAGCGGCCAAATTGTTTGATAAATTGAAAAATGTAACTGATCGACATGTATTTTTCCTTTTTGAATACAAAGAAAGAACCCTAATAATATCAAATAATAAATTAATAAAACACCACTTCGCCAAAAGTAGAAGAATTGGTTGATGATTTTTGAATACAATCAGAGATATGTAAAATAGGTAAATGCAAATTAAAACATGTAGCAAAAAAAAAAAGATATTTTAGATACGGTTTGCTTTCGTAGATAATAAATTTCTATTTTTTTTTTAAATTCAACTCTCTCTCAGTAGCGATTATATTTATTTTGATTCATTTGAAAAATATGTATCTATTTCTGATAATTTAGTTTACTCTGGAATGTCGTTGTTGTTGTCGTGTCCAATAAAGAGCCTCAGATGTCTCCATGCATCTCCATCACAGCAGCAGCAATGTTTACTATCTTGGGTGTGTAAAGTTGCTGCTCTGGGTCTATGTCAAATTTCTGCAAGGCTGCGGCCATTGCTTGGTATGAGAATATGTGGGTAGGTGTTAGTTCCACACCAGGACAGTTGTTGCATGCCCTATTGGTTCTTGTGCCATATGGATGCATTGTCATTCCTTTATAGTGTTTTGTTTTAAGTCTTGTTATAGTTTTTGTCATTTTTCTCTTAGAGTTTATTTCGCATTTTAATCTTTTCTTATTTTTTGTTTAAGTATCTTGTATTTTGACAAACATCAGCGTCAAATAATGACATTTGTTCTTTCCTTTAGCTCAACTTTCTGGCTTCCTTTGTCAAATCATCTGCCATTTCATTACCCCCCGATCCAAACATGGGCAGGAATCCATTGTAAAATGCAGTTCTTCTCCAATGGTTCCAGTTGGGTAAGTAACGAGTGTATTTTCTGTGTGATCTTAGTATTGCCCTTCTGAATTGCATCTAGAGCGGATATGGAGTCGCTGTATATTGAAATTCCTTCTGATTGATACAGGGATGGTTGGTTAAGGTATACATCAAGGGCTTTCCAGATAGCTGTCAGTTCACAAGTGAAGTTTGACGAAATCTGTCCTGCTCCTTCTTTGATTTTGATGTGTGTTCCATCTTACAGTATTATGTTAATTCCGGCCCCTCCATTACTCAGGGTAAGGTCTGAAGATCCATCTGTATATGCTGTTAAAAGGGATGGCCTAGCATTTTTTATCAAGAATTTGTACTATGAGGACATAGCCGTTAATATTCCAAACACATCAGACCTCGAAGCCCAAGGTATCAAGGTCTACCTCAATCAAAACAAAGCCATCAACATATACAATATGTATCACCCTCCAAACAATAAATTTATTGACGATTGAAAAATGGCTCAATTTATTAAAGACAACACTATTATTGTAGGTGACCTTAATGCAAAACATCAACTATGGGGATGTTCCACGCCAAACCCAAGAGGCAAAATACTATCAAACATATTTAACGATAATGCCTTCATGTATTTAAATGATGGGAATCCTACCCATTATTCTTACAGCTATAATACTGCACAAACACTTGATATAAGTTTTTACTATCCTGACATTTTCCACAAATGCAAATGGCAAATAATAAAAAGTATTGGAAGTGATCATTTGCCTAATTTAAAGAAATTAGCACCAAGACCAAAACCAGCTCAATTAAGAAAAATTCTGGAACTTCAAAAAGGCTAATTGGATATCTTTCAAAAACACCATTATTAAAGCAACCATAGTTTCAATACCAAGAGGTAATATTACACACCAGGCAAAAAATATTCAAACACTTATAACTAAAAGAAATGAACTAAAAAAGTGCACGTGTCTGTATACCCAACACAGCCTCATGTGAGGAGCTTTGTAAAGGACCTTTAATATTTTAGTCACTAGCAATGTACGTATTGGTCCTGAGGAGCAGATAGCTGCTAAAGCGGATCTACAGTATGAGGCAATGGCCAATGCTTGCTGTTTTAATTGGACCTTTCTCAGCGATTTGAGAGCTACCCAGAGAATTGCTTAGAGTTTAGCTTGAAAGGCATTGCAGTCTGGGTGAAGTTGTAGGAGAACTGGCTGATTTTCTTGGGAAGGGAAGATAATCGCAGCACCAACACCTGAATCATTATTTGAAGCATCTATGAAAATTATTGGCGTTGTTACCTCTTCTAGGTTCAAATTGAAGGAAAGGGGTCGTCTGAATGGGGAGTATGGCAGCGCAGCAGGTCCTGACTTCGATTAATAGTTCCCCTTCTTGATCTCCTTTAGGAAAACCAGCCGGGCCTGGATGATGATGTCTAGAGGGGACTGCCTGTCAGGGATATGGCTGCTATGTAAACAGAGAGAAATACATAAAAAAAATTCGATTGATATGTAGTTTTAAATCCTTTGCAATTATTTCACAATCTAAGAGAGAGAAATATCTATAACCCAGGTTCCTGGAAAGCAGAGTACCAACTACCTGGGGTATATATATGCAGCTAGGGGATATTGAACAACCAAGCTATGGAACATTTATAATGGTTTACGGACGGAAAAATATGTCCAGGGTAGCCTAGTGGACATGGCATCTGCCCAGTAAGCGGAACACTGTGGGTTCGTTTCCCATCCCTGGACACTTTTATTTTTCTGTTCATCAATACTCTTCACAACTCATCCTTTCATACTTCATCCCCTAAGGTTAGAAATAATACTTATTTCTCCTTAAAATAAATTTCGATTTGTCGTTCAAAAGAAACACATGCAAAATAATTTTCAAATGTCGTTCTGCAGAGTGATAATATCTGTTGAGTATTTTCATCGATTAATTGAATTATATATTATTTAAATATAAATTATTTCTTCGTCACACAATATATATTATACATTTA